CATTTATTCCTCATTTAGCCCTGATGCCCTTCATCATGCACTTTTTCCTTCCCTCCTTTCTCATATAGCTTTTCTTTCATCCTCGTGTCTTTTATTGCTGCCTCCTTTTGTTGCAGTTCTTCCTGGTGGATATCCTTTCTTACTTCTTCACCTTATTCTTTCTCATCTTTCTTGTGTTCTTCCTTCCCTCCTTTATGACAGCCCCTCTTATCTTACCTGTGTCTTTCCTCATTTAGTTCTTTTGCCCTTCCTCCTGTTTATTTCCCCTGTGTCCTATCATCCTTTTCATATGTTCTCCTCTTGCTCCTTGTGTCCTTCTCCCTTGCTGTTTTAATGTCCCTACATCCTTGTCATCATTGTTTTCTACCTGCCCTTCTTCCTCATGTCTTCCTCTCAGTCCCTCTTGGGGTTTTCCTTCATTCCACTATCGGCTGTAGAAGTCATTGCCACAAGCTTATGGTTAACGTTTGTCATTTTCTTTTTATTTTGAGCTGTAAACAGAGGGCTGCAAAAACTGTAAATTTTAGTCTGAAAAAGTCAAGAATTTGTACTTGGTGTAGACATTTGAAGTAAAAATGTGGTTTGGCCATTGTAAATGCTGTTAAAACATAAATAAATGTTACTCGAAAAAAGAGAAAAGGCTAAATACACAAGGAAAGTGGATTACTGTGAAATACAGCAGACATGTTTCCTTCCCTTTTTTTTTCTCAGTATGAAAAAATGTGATCAGAAAAAAGTTCTTTAAACATTTAACAAAGGAGCTAGAGGTTGGTATACCAAGGAACAGATACCATCAAAATAACAGGAAACGACGTATTGTCTATTTTTTGTCAAATTGAGGGCATGTGGGTAAAATGACTGTGGTATCTAATAACTTGATGACTTGCTTTTCACTCCCCAAACACCTTCTTTTTGTTAATTGTAACACTTTGTCGCCTCGGCTTTTATTAAAGCAGCTTTCGGTGGTGTCATGCGGCGCCCTGGGATCTTCCAATGCCAGACCTCTAATAAACATAATAGCATCAAAGCCCATCAAACCAGTTATTGTTACGTTTCTGCACATGGTACACAGCGCCACGTCCTATTTTGAACACTGACCCGATTCTTTCTGCCTTTCTCGTGTATTTGACAACCTGACAACTTCAGCAGCTTTTTGCACAGCTTCCAAAATAATCCAGGTGGGTTCAGGAGAGGGTCACTGTGCATAAACCAGAGCCAGAAACTGAAGCTTGTCCTAGCGTTAAACTTAACCAGCCACACCATTCTCTAAACTTATAGAACGTCCATTTAAAACGATGCAATTGAGTGTAAATTGCTCATAAAAACAGAAAAGTCGTTGCACTCGACCTGTTGGTTTTATACTATTTCTGGTTAAACGGACAGTTTAAATGTTTTAAAACTATTGAATGTTTTTTGTTTTGTTTTTTTTCTTCATTTACACAACATGTACCGCAACCTTTGTCTTAATTGTTAAGACTGATTGGTATAATTTTTGGCCATAGAGGGAAATCCAAATTAGTCACTAAATGATCAATGGAATTAGGTTTTGTTAGACCAGCTTCGGCTCTGGGTGGTTTTTGAATAGCCCTGGAACTTACTAGGGTATTTTTACTTATAAACAATACAATTAGTTCCCATTTTCTCTGTATTTATATTCTTTAAAAAGCTGTATACGCACACGCTGCACCGTAGAAGCGCAACTACGTGAGCAGGCGGCTGGTGATTATTCTCACAGTGTCTCAGTAGTTCTGTATTAATGCGGTTATTAAAAAGCTTTTTTTTCTTTTTTTTTTCCCCACAGTCAGAGACGTGCAAATGACTGGAGATGGAAAAAAAAACAAAAACAAAGTTTCTCCGCAGAATCAAGTTGGACGTATTTTATCCAGATCAAATTAATAAGGTGCTCTTAAACATGGCTGTCATCGTTTCTAAAAATGGTGGCAATTTTTTTTCTTGCTAGAGATGATGGCGGGGTGAAAAAAACAGGAGCAAATTAGCAAACCATAACAAGTGAAGTGTTTGGTTTTAGCTGCTGCTTCACTCTTTTCTGTCCAGTCCTTGGACTATATTTCTGGTTCAGTTCATATCTATGGTTGTAACTTTGTTAGTTGGAAAGCAGGATGTGCTTTACACACATCTTTTTGTCTATTCAGTCTACCCAGTGACCACTGTAGAAATATGCATATTTCACATTTTACCTTGTATTTTGAAATTAACTTTAAAAATGTGGAACTTTCTAATGAGCGTCAGACTAAAAGCACATCGACTTTCTGTTGCTGAAAAAAATCAATTGGCCGTAAGCTGTCAACAAAATACGTTCAATATCATTAAGATTTTTATTTTTTTTCTTTGCGGGCCATTATTCAGAGCATTTGAATTATTTATTCTTTTTTTTTTTTTTAATATTGCTCATTAAAACTTTGGTGAAATCTGTCAATGTTGCACTACTGGTGTTATTTTATTTATTTTGTATTTATTTCTAAAATAACACCAATAAGAACACAAAGCCTGATATGAATATACCAGCAGCGATGAACTGTTCTTTTATTACTCGAGGTCTTTTGAGCACAGAAAACGTCCCGCATTCACTTTAAGCATCTTGAAGCGAGTGGATAGGGGGGGAGCACTGTGGATAATTACCTGAGGTTATTATTCTGCCATATTCAGTTGGTTCCAGCCGTCCATCGCTCCTAAAACCAACAATACCGCCGTGGTCTGCCCGAACCCGAAGCGCTCTGCTGCTGACCCTGGGTGTTAATATGTGAGAAGAATATTATTTAAAGAGGTACTTAACCTACAGCACGCTGCCCGTGCGCGCAGCTGGCGTCATTATCCTTGAGCCGTTCCAGCTCCGCCATTAGCAACACCGGATTCCAGTGACGGCGGCTTCGTCTCGGCACGACTCGTGCCATAAAATGACCTCACGCAGATACAGTGACATGCCTCTCTATAGAGAAAGGAAGCTTTGAGAAGGTCCTTGGTAATCAGACGCCACTGACTGTGGATTTTAGTGGGTTAGCTTACACCCGTGGGGCTGCTGGTGAACTGGGATTCTGGAAATAGAAGGGAATACCTGTGTGGGTTGCCGTGTCCCTGTTTGTGGCCGTTGTACTTTGAGTTATTGAGAAAGAGGAGCGTTAATCAGTTTTGGCCATCTTCCTGTCCTCTTTTCCTAATGTGTTTCTTTTTAAATGCCACTTTTTAAAAAAACTTTAATCTCTCCTCATTTTTTTCCTCTCTTTTTTTTGTTTTTCTTACTCTCCTGTTTTCCCCTTTACTTCCCCTGCTAGCGTGTGATAGGCAGCGTTAGCCGGTGGGTGTTGGGCGGCCTGATTACTCTGAACTATCCACAGCTGCAGCAGCCTAATGAGGAAAACACTCCCATCAGCGAATAATTGCTGTTTAGGAAGCCGGTTGGCTTCCAGTCGCTCAGATCGGCTGCAGAGCGGATCACAACCCGCCCGGCAAGTCGTCAGTGATGTAGCGTGCAGCAATCTGTTGCGTCCCACTTGTTCTGTACGTAAAATAGACAGTTTATTGTTCCTTCTCTCAGCAACCTCTTATTCGGTATTCTAACCCTCAGCCTGCATAATGTCGCAGCTAATTTTTGAGCTGATGAATTGAAAGAGAGAGAGAGAGAGCATCGAAAAATGAGAAGGAGGAAGAAACAAAGGATATTAAAAGATAGGAAGCCGAGAGAGCAGAGGGACGGCTTAAGAATTAGTAAACATAGAGCAAAAGCAGCACGGAAGAAGTGAATAAGAGAAAGCAAAAGCAACAATGAAAAGATTAAAGGATAGACCTGGCACTATTCTTTATTTTTTATTTTTTCCCTATTGTTAGCAAATCACCGGAAAGGACTAGACCTGGAAATTACTCGGTGTCTGTCAGTGGCATTCAGCCCATTTTGAAAGCAATCAGTAATTTTCCAAAACAGCTGCTAAAGAGCACTCTATCTTTTATTGAGCATCGCCCAAACAAAAGCCAAATATAGATTAAATAGCTCTATATATTCTTCTGGAATGAATAACTCTGTGGTGAATATCTGGGTTCCTGCACAGATTTGAAGTCTGGAATTTGATTGAGGTATTCTCCAGACTGGGATTAACACAGAAAAAAGGAAAGTACAACAGAGTGGGAAGAAATATGCGGATCTCCTCTTTTTTTCCCCACCATCTCGATCTCTGACACTCAATTTCCCATTTTTGGTTAAGAAAAGTGCAGACCCCATTAATCTCTCTATCCGTCTTTTCATCCATTCACTAAATATCTTGTTGTTCATCAGTCTGTCTGTCCATCCATCTATCCTTTTGTCTTTCTTTCTTTAAAATTTTTCCATCTTTCCTCAAATCTTTTTCACCTTCATTTTTATGTCATTCAATTTTAGATCCCTTCCTTCCTTCATTTTTTCCCCATTGTGTTCCCCCAACCCTTCTTGCTCTATTCCTTCATTCTTTCATTTTGTGATTATTTTCATGCCTTATTCATGTCATCCTTTGATCTTTTTTCCTTCTTTCTTTTCTGCTGTTATCTTTCTTTTTTTGTTTTTTATTTTACTCCAATCCATCCATCCTTTGGGGGTAAAATCTGACCATTGTATGAATATATGCTGTAAATTAATAGTGAACTTTTCTGTTTGTTTTTTTAAATCGTCAGAGATATCTGAGAATACAACAGTAGAAATTTGAACGTAAAAAGATCCAGGAAACCTGGTCAGACGGGATCTTCAACACAAATTATCCCCAGAATCGCTTTTCTGTTGAAGAAAGACAGCACTGACCAATTTGCATGTCTTTAAATAAAAGGGTCTTTTTGATTACAACAAAATAAAAAGTTTTAGCCTCTGTCTCCTTTTTCAGTAAAGCAGAACGATAAGTGGAAGAGATCATTTTAAAAGACAAACTTGGGGAAAATCATGAGCAGGCGACATAAAATTCAGAGTTCAATACGAGACTGGCAATGAAAACTAATAAAACAATATGAGCCGTGTGTTATTATGTGTCAGAGATCAGTCTTCCAAGGAACTCAAGGTGAAAGTTGAGCTATAAAAAAAAAAAAAAGAAGAAGAAAAAAAAAAACCCGTTGAAACACTCTCTCCTTTTTTCCTCCCAGAATCCCCCAGATTGCAGTAAGGCGAGGAAGCTGGTGTGTAACATCAACAAGGGCTGCGGTTACGGCTGCCAGCTCCACCACGTCGTCTACTGCTTCATGATCGCGTACGGCACCCAGCGCACGCTCATCCTGGAGTCGCACAACTGGCGCTACGCCCCCGGCGGCTGGGAGACCGTCTTTCTGCCCGTCAGCAACACGTGCACTGACCGGTCCGGGGCTTCCACTGGACACTGGTCAGGTGGGTACATCCACAGCGACACAGTCACACTACGAACTGCAGTTAGCGCTAGCAACAGAGCTAACGGCGAAGCGAGCTAAGCAGCTGCTAAGTGCTTTACTTTCACACCGTTCATAGATCTGTCATTTGAACACGTTTGAGAATGACATTATTTATGTATCATTGAACTTGATTTATTGGTTTCAGAAATTAGACCATATTTAAATTTAAGATGGAATGGATTAGCAAGTTTACTTTCTCAAGCACAACAAAATAATATTCATAGGTTGATTGTTGTGTTACCATAGCTACAGTCTAATGCTACGAGTTTGAGCTTCAAATTCATCTCAGCAAAAAATACCCAATTATCCCCTTTTGCATTATTATCTTATCAAGCAGATTAGGTAATAATCTGCCTGATTATTAGCAGATAATAATCTGCCTGATTATTAGCAGATAATAATCTGCTTGATTATTAGCAGATTATATATGTTGGCCCATATAACCTTGGGCCACCTCTGCTCTACCATTGGCCCTGCCAGCAGTAATTATGATAAGTTACCTAATTATCTTTTTTGGAATAACCTCATCTAAAAACTGAAAGTTCCTGACTTATTGTCCTCATGTAAAAGTAAAGTTTGACGAATGTTGCTGCAACGCAGGATGAGGTTGCTTTGTAATGGCTTTATTACAGGAAAAACCCCAAAATAAATGATTTGGGATATATTTCCTGCAAACACAACCGCTGCCCTTCCGACTTGTTTATGCTTCCAGTTTTCAACTGAGTCGATTAATCCTTTCCTTACATTCATATCCGTTTCAGCACAGGTTTAGCAGAAATAAATTCCACCAATCTTAGCAGGCTTATGAAGTTTTAATTCTTCGTGTTTTTCTCAGTTGCAGTCCCCTGGAAACTGAGCATGAATTCACTGATGGCTCTTATATTTTCACATTTAAAGCTGCTGCTGGGCAACGTAAACATATTTCTGCCAAAAATCCATTTTGACATCAATATTTAATGTCATCCTGAGTACTGAGACGGTGTGTGTTTTTTTTTTTTACTTGCAACTACTTTTTCACATATTTCTTTTCTAATAAATTATGAACATGCAGTCGGCAATATTTACCTTTAAATTTGTCATGTTTCCACTAAGAGTCTTTTTTAGCATTGGTCCAAGTAAATGTCCATTAATGCAGGTTCTGAGCACATTATATCTTTAAACTGAGGTTTCCTTGTTACACTTCTCACAGCCTTGCGTCTGTTGGCAGGACTTTTGTTTGGTGAAGGTTAAAAATGCATCAAAGTTTTTAATTTCCTTGTTCTCCACCATTAAAACATCTTGTCTTTTATTCGAACAAGTCTTTACTGTAAACAACAAAAAATCCATTTAATAAACAGCACAAGAAGCATAAAGTTATATGCGTTAAATTAGGTTTTGCTATGTTGGGGGTTCTGCAATTTCATGGTTGATGTGCAGTGCTCTCCACCGTTATTAACAGCCCAGCTAAAGACGGGTTAAAAGTAAATTAGTATTTTACTGTAGTAGCATTGTCCCACTCCTCTCTTCAAATTGGTGAAGACAACCACACATCCCATTCGAGGAAGGTGGATGTGTTTGATCTTAAAGAGTCATGAAATGGCCAAAAGAAAATAGCTACTGTAAGCAGTTTTTGTAGCGAGCAAAAACAAAACTGGACAAGGACTCATGTCTTGTCTTGTCACGGCTCACAGTAAGTAGAATGAAAAACTCTGAAGCTCAGAGTTGCAGCTCCAGAAAAGAGAGACATGTTGGGGTCATCAAGTTTCAGTCGTAAACATTCGACGTCTTCTAAACGCTAACTGGCTGTTTAAAAGTGAAAAACAAGCCTTTCTGTTAAGCATGAGCATGAATTACGTTCAACAGAATTAAATATTTTACTTACTTTACGTAAATCAGTGATCGTGTTGCATATTGTACATCTGTAGCCAGGATGCTCACTCAACTTGTTTTTGCAACGTTGCTTAAAAAGCTTCTGAATTTATTTTCACCTTTCAAATTAGCTGCTAATCCCAGAAGTTCGCATCCCCTCTGTCACTGACAAGCTTATAATTTTATTTTATTTTCTGCAAAGAAGGCGAGCTTTTATCTTTCCTATTTAATTGCTTTTTATTCATTTCGTTTTGGGTCTCATGAGAGAGTCTGACGCAAAAAAAAAGGAGTTTACGCGCCAACCGAGGGGCTACAGGGAGGCGAGATGACAGAGAAACATGCCTCTGTTGCACAAGCTGTATATGGACTTGTGTGCATGCTGAGCAGTGAGGTTGCGTCCCGCTGAGTAAAAAGCAGAGATATCATTACTGTTTCAGTCGTGATGGTTGTTTGGTTGTCTGTTGCGGTTAGTGACTCAGACAGATGCCGGTGGTTTACTTGAATCCTATTTATTGTCATTCGCTCCCATTTTGAGAAAGTAGCAAATTTGAACTTTGAAGGGAAGGCGCAGATTTGCATCAGCTTTGTGCAAATACCTCCCAGCCCGTATTGCACACTGGTGTCTTTGTCGCTTTTATATTTGCAGCACATCTGTGGCTTTTATGCAACCGATGACCGTCACTTTTTCATTTTGCAAAAAAAAAAAAAAACTTAAACCAAACATAGGTAGTTGTTTTTTTTGTTTTTTTTGTTTTTGTTTTGTTTTTTTATGAGACACAGATTATTCATAACCTGTCCTGATTGCTAAAGGGCTGCAGATCTGTCCAGCACTTACAGCACCTTCATGTGTTCAGTGTATATCGCTCAGATCTCTCTGTGCATGTTCCAGAGAAAAGCTGCAGCAGCAGTAAAAAGCTTTAAACTTTTACAGGTAGGAGTGGGCGTGCCAATAGAGTTCCCCAGGATAGAAATGGGTTTATAAGATTTTGTTTCTCTGTCTGTTCTGCTTCACTGCCCGTGTTGGCTGAGGAACAGTAAATGGTGTTTGTGTGAGTGGGATTTTCCCACTTTATAAGCCATGACCAAAAAAAAAAAAAGAAAGAAAGAAAAATGACGACAGTTTCAACTCTCGTTTTAATACTTCACAAAAGTATTCATGTCATTTCATTGAGATTTTGCGACAAATAGTCACAAGATGCCACATAATTATAGTTATAGTTATGTGGACGGAAAAGGCTACATGATTTCCAGATTGTTTTACAAATATAAGTGATCTAGCTGGTAAATAAAGCTCAGCTTTGTGGGATTTAATGTCAGTATAAACACAGCTGTCCTGAAAGGGAATCGGTGGTGTCTCACTTTGACTGCAGACGACTCAGAACATTATGAAAGGTTCAACTTGAAGCAGCAGGTTAACAACCCTGAATATATTGCCAGCTACAATGAAATCATTTAGACTAAAGTAAATCCATTCCTTCTGATTAAACTCTGACTATTTTCCTAATAAGTTCTGGTAGAATTTAGTTATGTGGCACTTGGTTTATTTAGCACCGTCATGGTAAAGGGACTTGAATACAAATGCCTGCCACACTTTTCAGGTTTATAATTGTGGAAAAAGGTTAAAAACTATACATCGTTTTTATTCGCCTCACAGTTCTGCTCTGTGCTGTGCTGGGTTATCGCATGGAATCCTGATAAAATACGAGTTTGTTTTTGTAACATAATATTTTACGAGATTCACATTTTGTGTATTTCAATATGCCGAAAAAAATCTAAAGCAGTAATTAACAGGGCCTGCTTATGATCTCATGCATTTAGTGTGGCCTTTTACCTCAATTATTTTCTCTCTCATAGCTTCTCTGCGCTCATCTTTGAATTCTTTCAGCTCTCTATTTTTTTTTTATCATATTGCTTCATTTGACTTGTGCTCTCCTGGGCTGCCTCTTCTTATCTCCTGCTCTCCTTTTGCCTTTTCTCTCATATTTTCTCGCCTTTCATATGTCCTTTTTCCACTTTTTAATGTATTTCTCTTCTTCCCATTTGTGTGTGTGTGTGTGTGTGTGTGTGGTGTGTGTATTAAAAGCTACATTTTAAGAACCCATATGTGCCATGTGGCTGTTCATGCCCAACAAGCGATTCACGCTGATTGATTAGTGTTTGCGTACATCGACACAGGCTCTTCACTTCCTTGAAGCTTTTTAATGTAAAAACTGCCATTATTGGTTTGTTTCTGTGACTCGTAAGTTATAGAATTTATTCTATGCTGCATTACGGAAACCAAAACACGACCCATTCTTTGTATTTATCTAAAATGTGCCTTCAGTGTTGTTTTTCGTGTTGTTTATGCTTACATAGGGAGTGAACTTTTCTGGAGCCTAATGCCTCAAAGCAGCAAAATTCCAATTTCCCCCACAAATCATAACATGGATAGCCTGCTCTCTTTTAAGTGCTTCTCTTGGGATCTGAGACGCTTACAGACCAAAAGAAGATGCATGCTATGTGTGTCTGTGACATGGTATTTCTGTCAAGAAAACATATTGCTTTAGGGGAGGAGGAGAAGATAAAGACAAAGATAGCGATGGAGCTATTATTGGACCCGCTGATGTTCTTCTTGCATTTGTGAAATGGAGGAGGGGGGAAAAAAACAAAACATTGCAAGAAATGCACATCCACACAAACATAACCCTCAACTCGGATTTGCTCCACCGCAGAGATTAAATGGCTAGTGGCCTAAAAAAAAAAAAGTGGAAAATAATATAATTCCAAATGAAAACCTAACCGTAGGAAAAGGAAATGTAGATTAGTGATGGGCTGGTCAAATAAACAAATGAGTTTCCTTCATTTTATCGTCTTTAGAAAGGGTTGGTGCAGATCCTCAGCCATCCAGGATAATGGAGCGCTACATGTTATAAATAGAACTCCATATGTTTCCTAAATCCCAAAAAACTTTTTCAGTTTTAAAAAATGAGTTGGGAGTGTCATACTTTAAAATTGTCAACTTGAACTGGCCTCTTTGGGTCACTAATGGGGCCGTCGAGGCCAGACGAGTCACTGGAGATGCCGTGCATTCATTTCAGTGTTTGGGTTGTCACTTGACCAGCCAATCATTATCTCACAATGGACAAAGCAAGTTGTTTTGGCTGCATGGGTCAGTGTGTGAATTTCTGTAAGACGGCTTGGGGATACGAGTCGAAGCTTTTGGAAAATGAAATCTGAAGGCCTTTTTGGGGATAGTTCTTGAGACGTATATAAACTGCAAAGTCTTGATAATTGGAAAGTAATTGTGGTTCATGGAAAGCCTGAGCAGCGTATTATAGCATGAACATTTTAAGAAATGATTTGTGCGATGTTTAAAGCCCAGAAGTAAAATCTTTCCGCCTCGACGTAAATTTATTTGATCTTAGTTTGATAGAGTAAAATTTCTGATTCCTACTTTGGCTAACTCCAATTTTATTCATATGCTGTAACACAGGCTAGATCGTTTGTGTAAAAGTAGTTTTAATTCAAGAATTAAATGCAATACATACTGACCTAAAAGTCCTTAAGGTTCCTTAAATCTAGCAGAAAATGAAAGAATCACCAGGTTGTCAGTGACAGGGATTTCCTTCGATGGAAAACTTTTACTAATTGGATTAATAAACTAAACCTTTCTTACTAATACCACTTTGGAATGCATGCGACTGACTTAAAGTCGAATCGAATCGACTATATTTCTGCATATTGACCGTGATGTGTCGATTTTGTTTTGTTAAATGCCTTGACAGAGTATATGTTGTAAAGCAGCGCTATATAAATTAAGTGAATTAAATCCCAATGTATGCATTGAAGAATAAACATTTGTCTTTAATCAAATTGCGTTAAAAACCATGCTGTCTGCTAGACTGATGGAAACACACACAAAACAAAAAAACAAGTTTTCAGTTTTGATACATTTAATGACACCAAGGAAGAAGTATTTGACCCGCAGAGCACATCGCCAGCCGCAGCCGATGAAAGGGAAGGCTGGTTGATTTTCTTTCACCGGCTCATTTATTCCCGCAACACTATTTGAAATATTGAGGCTTTTTTTTTTTTTTTTTTTAAGGGGGAAAGCACAGCTATCCCCATTCGACAGCTTTTGGAATGTTACTTTGTATTCATGCTGTGAAGAGGTTCTTCCTCCAGGCCTTTTCATTTTGATAACTACACTTTTATATTCTTTAATCTTTTTTAAAAGAAAAACAGGTTGAAGCTGCAGGGCAGTTTGCCCCCTTCCCCGGTTTCTTCCTCCATTTCACACCTATGCATTACCTTCCCGTCCCCTCCGACAGTAATGTCTCACCTGTAAACAAAGCATTTGCTTAAACCATGCGCGGTACTGGAGATAAATGGCCGTATATTATTGTGTATATTTTTTGTTTACAGACCGTGTGAACTTTGTGGTCCACTCTATTTTCAGCTATTGTGTTTATGTTGCTTGTTGACTCATAAGATTTAACACAAAAGGGGGAAAAAAATTTTTTTTTTTTTTTTTTTTTTTTTTTTTGAGGATAGATCTCACTTTTTGGAGTCATGTTACTGAATCCCTTCTGAAATTACTATAAGCTGTAAGGAAAACTTGCTTTGAATTGTCAACTGTCCCAGGGGGTAAGCAACGTCCCCCGTGACAAATTGATATGCTCAATTTTAATTCTTCCAATAAACAATTCCATTTCTTGTCTCTTTTTTTCGGGAGGGGATGAATTAAACTGTAAGATTGCAATTATTTGGTGAAGGTGCCAAATAACTGGTAAGTTATCATGGCTGCTTAAAAAAAAGACAAAAAAAAAAGTCCATTAACCTGGTAAACATATTTTAATTGACCATAATTAGCAAATACAAAACTTTCATTATTATAATGCCAGTAATGATTTTTCCTATAATTATTCAAAAAGGTATAAACATTTAACATTCCATTGCTTTAAGGAATTGCAATAAAAACGTTATTGTCTGATTGCTTTAATACAATGTTTTAATTATTTTTTGAGAGACTCCTTCCTATTTCCAGTTAGAAAAAAACAAAAACAAATCTTACCCAAATTAAACGTCTTTAGAGGAAATACAGATTTTCTTAGAGGTTTTCAGCAATGTAGAGTTTAGTTAAAATATTCAACAACAATTACAAAAACCAACTTTACTCTTGTGGGTGATAGATGGCATCGCTGATGAAGTGTCTTCCATTCCTTTTTCCTATTACCTTTAGTGGGAAGCCATGAAAAAAAAAAATCTAGAAAATCGAATAGCATAATGCTAAGATTTTGGTGAAATAACATTAAGCGTTAAAACCCCGATCTACTCCTGTTGCCTCATCTCTGCATATTGTTGCATCTATGAAGCCCAGATTAGAACAACTGAAGGTTCCTTCTCCAGCTAAGTTCAAATTCGCGAATAGAAACCCAGTTTATCTTCAAAACCATGACTGGCTGCCCACACAGATAATTTGTCCAAGAAAGCGCACTCCTTTGTGAAAATATCTCTGCATTGTGCGTGATGCTGGGAGCAGAAGGCGAAACATAATGTTCCCTGACATGCAAAGGCTGAAACAAGAGATCTCAAAGATCATAAATTCTGTCTCAAATGTATTATGAATGGAGAAGCTCGGCACTTTGTGTCTTGATGGTGTCACTCTCGGTTCTCCAGTTTCATCGTCTCTTATGAAAGATTTATTAGGGCCAGTGCACATCTTAGACTCCAAATACAATACAGGAACTTTTTCTTTGAGTTCAGATCCATACGCATCGGAAGAGGCTGTTACAGAAAACGTATGCAGAGGTTGTGCAGTGAAGACATACTTGAGAGAGGCTTTTGTGATCTAATTAAGCAGCAGTAAGAAGCAGACATACTTCATATCTCTACATCTGTGCCAAGAAAAGCAGGCTTCAAAATATGCCCGTTCCCCCTTCTATGAATCATGCCAATGTTGTTATATAAGCAAAGACGAGCCTGGGAATATTTTTTCTGTTCAATATTTAATGCTTGTTCTAATTTATATTCAGTTCATACTCCGGCGCGCGCGCACACACAAATCCGAGCCTTTTTTTTTTTTTTCCTCTAGTTGTTTTTTAGCATATTTTTTTAGCTACTCTGTTTCTGTGAAAGGCCGTTTTTAACGAGTCATTATGCCATTTATTTGGAAGCGTCTTATGGAGGCTGTGTTTGCAGCTGTGCTAGAGCCTGTTGTATATGGCAGTGACAAAAGTCACTTTAGTCTGACGGAGCGCAGGCCTCAAAACTTGTCTTTTTACATAATTCAAGGGTTTTATACACATACACGCACACACACACACTAGCAAACCTAGCTTGGGGTTTAAGACTGGAATGGAGTGAAGGTTGTGTCTGCCAGGCACATCCCTTCTGGCGAGATGTGATTAGCTGGAGCTCTTTGTGTGAGTTTGAGAGTGTGAATGCAATTTCTGTTTGTTGCCGTTTTTATGTGGACCGACGTAACTTATCACTGTCTGACCACTTTCATCGTAGTTCACAGGATTTTTTTCTTCTTTTTTTTGTTTTTTCATGTGCACATTTTTATAAATTAGTCTGTGTAGGTACACGCAGTTTTCAGGCTTGTACATGCTTGTAACCTTTTGTTCTGACACGTAGGTGCACAGCTTCTGCATTTATGTATTTGGGTGCACAGTTGGCCTCGATTGTCAGGGAGGTCTGGCAGTTCAGGCAGTTGTGCAGTCCAGAGGACTGACCTTCATAATCAGCTCTGGTCAACTCTTCTTCTTGGGGCTGCTTCCAAGCAGGACTCGACCCTTGGATCGCCCAGTTTTGGTCCACAAACCGTCACTTCCTTTTCCTATTTAAGTGGGCTGAAAGTTAATTGTAGTCTTTGAGGAAGGGCAGGTGAAAGTCATGAAGCTTGATTATGGCTACATTAATTATTTTTTTACCATTCCTCCTAATTATGACAAATTAAAAACAATTTTAACCGTAAAACCTCATGACAGCTACTTAAAAGATTACCAAAGATTTAGATGTTTTAAACTTAAAAGATATTTTTCTGTCCATGACAACAATTAGTTCTCCAGAATTACACATTTGTGGCCACAAAGTCCATGTCTGTTTCTTAAAGGTAATAAAATGTATGAATTTGTGGCTTTAACGTGGAGTAAGATAATACACCACTATATTCCATAGTATTGTGTATTCACCAATGCGACTCCATAAGTCGCCCTGTAATGTAACTCAGGGTTGTTCTAGTTAACCGTTTGCAGACAAAATTAGGATCAAATGTTGCCGCGAAACATTGTGAAATGTGATAACCAGTGTTTCAGCTGCTTTTTGTGTAACGCTTTTTTTTTTTTTTTTTTTTTTTTCCCTCTGGAGTTTCCCCAAAGGGAAACTTGCTCGTCTCTTTAAATTTGACGACAGCTGCCTGTTTAATTGTAAACATAAAATTTCATACCCAAATCATCTGAAAACGCAATGGTAGTAGATCATGTAATGCAGCTTTCATATACATTAACCAAAAATCCAGATTTCTGTTCATGTTCACAGTCCATCGTATAACTTTTGACCTCTGGAAGGATGTTAAAATTATAAGTCCGGCTGAGTTATAAGGTTTCACATACCTGATGATGAGCCTCTTCTTTGAACAGCAGTTCAATGGGATCTTTAAAAAGTGTGGCTGGACAATGGCTGATTGGTGGATACGATTGGCCATCGTTGGCATTGCTAACATCTTAGTGTCAGATGTCATAGGTCACCTTTATGGGTCCAAAAAGAAGGGAGTTTTTTTTTTTCCTCCTCATCAACTATTTTGTATGTTTTCCAATCTAGGTGAGGCTCATGATAAGGACGTTCAAGTTGTGGAGTTGCCCATTGTGGACAGTCTACACCCTCGGCCCCCCTACTTACCTCTGGCAATCCCGGAGGACCTGGCCCCGCGTCTGCAGCGTCTGCATGGCGACCCGTCTGTCTGGTGGGTGTCGCAGTTCGTCAAGTATCTTGTTCGCCCTCAGGCGTGGCTGGAAAAGGAGATCCAGCAGACCACCGCCAAGCTGGGCTTCAAACATCCCATCATCGGGTGAGGACACTTGGCTCTCTCTCTCTCTTTTTTTTTTTTTTTTTAATGTTTGCAGCCTCACTTTAATTCAGTAGTTACAAAAGAGTCAGTTACTATGGTGTTCTTCTACAGTAGAATTCCTTTACTATTAGAGAAAAGAAACTGAAATGTTACTCATTATAGGGTTTTGCTTTGTATTGCTGCACTGCCGGCGAATACTCGGCTTATGCTCATGCAAATCAACCAGTTTAAAGAAATTTCATCACTCTGTACTCATCACTCAGAGGTTTTTATTTATTTATCTTTTAAAAGCAGTTTATTTGATCATTTCTTGTTTTTGCCGTCGCCCTCAGTGACCTCACATCAAATCAGATCCTTCAGTTTAGCTAAGAACTTGCAGAATGAAATGCTAGGGGCTGTCTCAAATTAAATGAAATTGGACGAGACAAGGAAACTACACTTTTTATTAGATGCAGTGGCCTGGCATCTGTTCTTTTATCTTCAATGGCCGCTGTTAATTAAGGCGAACTGTTCACTTCATTTCCTTCGCCGTCAACCAATGTTTCAAGAAGCCGGAGCATCACAGTGAATTTATCAATTTGTGCTATTATTGAGCATTATTCATCTGATCAAAGTTGCCTCGCTTTGTTTCAGTGACCTCTGCAATCCGGAAAATATGAAACGCAAAAAGATCTATATCTGTGTATTTGTTGTTTATTTTGAAATGATCCCACACACGCAATTATGTTTTATCAAATACTTTTTTTTTTCTTGCTAAATATAGTTTCAAAAACATGCAGTATGTGCTCCTTTGTACTAAATTCAGCCCACAGATAGGTCTGTTTATAGCACGGGGGGCACAACAAAACAGTGTTTCCTAAAGTGTGCTGTTTATAGAATAAAGCTTTTTTTAGTAAAAAAAAAACAAAAACGTTTTGTTAAAATTAATACTGAGTTTAAAACGCTGGGCATTAGTTTGAAAGATCTTCATTTCTTAATGAAAGCATAAAACACAAAAAAAATAGTCCAAAAATATCAGACTCTGTGAAGATATCTATTTTATTTTAGTGCATTTTCAAATTAGGTTAGAAGATTATTTTTTTTCATTCATATAATATTTCATAGGAAATCCTACAATCTGAATGTTATATTTTCTTTTTAATTTAATCTTCTTTCTTTTTAAATCAAAAGGTTAGTAAAATCTGTGGATCAAATATGTTTGGTTGATAGTGGTATTATAATGTATAATATATAATAATCAGATTTTTTTTTAAAATCTCCCTTACCTATAAATTGGATTTGCACAGTTTACATGCATGTCATTTATGTTAACTAATTGTCTGTCACCCATCTAAGTCTGTACATCACTGACTGGGTTTATCTGCAGGAGTTCACCGCTGTTTTAAACGTACTTGGTCCACTTCAGCAAGTGAGCGCCCACTCACTTGCTGTTCACAGTCCATCAAAAGTCATATGATGGACTGTGAACCCTATCAAAATACTGCAGACCAATTTTGAGAGCAGCACTCTCTTAAACAGCTTGTACATTTTTTAGCTGTTTACTTGTTTACGTCTCAGCAAATCCCCATCAGGCGCCGCGGCAACCGACTCTCATGTTCTGTCGGCGAGCGTTTTCTTCCAGTCGTGAAATTCTTCCGTAGCACGCAGTTTAAATCTGAAATCAAAAAGACTTTGCAAATAATTCTTGGCAGTTTTTCTATCCCACATTGAAGCGTGTTGCAGATGGTACGGGGTTTACCTCAAGAAGGCAATAAGCACAATGACTGGTTAACTGTCAGACGCTGGGAAGTCTTTGAAATGACTTTCAGGTCCTTTCAGGTGGTTTTAAGTTTCTGCAGAATCCCATAAGACTAACTCCGTCTGTGTGTTTGAGGAAGGTGTTTAAAACAAATGCTTAGACTTAGTGTAGAATGTTTTCTTTAAAGGCTTGTCTTGCTTCGCTTTCATGTTGCTGCTTTCTGTCTTCATCTGTGCCCTCAGATGAAGACATAAAGGGGGTTTGGTCTCCCATCCTCTCCGACCAAACCCTGGCCCTCAGATCTCCTCATTTGTGATCGTTCCTCTGTCTTCAGTTGTTCACTCCGCTTCAGGGTTGTTCAAATATTTTCCACAGTCTCTCTTATGTTCCCCAGGCATCCAGCTGAACCTATATTCCTCCAACTCTCGCAGTTTTCCACATGTTTCTATCACCGCGCGCTCCGTGCTTTCCTTTGTACAACTCCCAACACGCGACACATAGCCCTCCCTTTTTTCAGTCCAGAGGGGTTATTAAAAGGTGTCATTTGGGTGTAGAATAAAGCTTTTATCTCTCGTTATTTGGCTTTCAGTAGTGCCACTTCGCACTGAAGTCACACTGCAAGAAGAAGGCTGTGTGCGTCTAAAAACAGTGTGGAGGAGGTAAAGGTTGAACTCAAAGTAAACCGCAGAAGTAGTGCGAAGATCAGGACAGGCTTGGGTTGATGGAGAGGGTGTCGGAAGACGTAGGACGACATTTTGCCCCCGAAGTCTCTCTGCTGACTCACATGAGTCCCAAACATCGGCATCGCTCTCTCCGGGCCGCTCCCTTTAGACCCGAACTGCAGCCATAAACCAGGAGCAGCCGTCAGCACAGATCCAACTCGCAACAATTTAGTGCAGTGTAATGTTAGCCAGAGTACGCCGAGAGAAAGTGCTGTTTCAGTCAAAAACACGCTGGCATCCTCCCCGTGCCCAGTGTGGTTACCAGCAGGTCAGATTTCTCTGTGTGCTCATCAGTTTGGTGTGTTCAGTAGGATTGGAGCTGATGTCAATAAAAATAACTCGCCTTCTGAGTTTTCTTGTTGGAATCCATTATTTAGATTCTAATTTTGCATGCTGGTGTAGAAAGAGAGCAAAAAGAAGCTTCTATGTCTGAATATTTAACTCGCATAACACATCATGTTGTCTGCCTCTAGACAGGAACACAGGCAGTCGGAAATAATACGGCCCCTATATTTGTTTGAGGTTCTGGTTCCAGTTAGTAACTGTTTCAATCTTGTTTGTTTCTTTTGAAGCCATGCATAATCCTCCACTTATGACCACCTAACTGCCTAATCATTATGTACTTAGTTTTCTTTTCATTCATTAATCTATCCACAAACCTTTTTTGAAAAATAACCTAATCATTTCAATTACTTTCTGTTGTAATAAAGTGGAGCCTCTGCATTCAATTCATTTAAATACCATCATCTACGCAATTAAATCTGATTAAAACAGGATGAAGTAAGACTTATTTGGTCAGCTGTACAAAACTTGTACTTTAGCTTGCAGGGACTGAGGAGGTCCATCAAACATGGGTCCAGAAGTTTCCATATACCGTATATTTGTTTAAGAGAACATGTGAGACAAACATTTCTCACTTCATTTGTTTGTTCCTAAACTGAAGCTCATACAGAACCAGCCAATGGGCTGGAGCCAAACACAACAGGAGGCAATTCTCCTTAATGAACAAATTACTTAAGTGCCATCATGACTGCAGCTTGCGCCTTGTACTCGATTACATCAGTAGAACAACTGTAACTTGTTAAAGAAATTCTTAAGCAATACATATGAAATATGTTGACTAATAATTTTGATTTTAATAGACAATGAGGGCAGACGTCATAGATTATGTGATTAGCTGATGCTAGCTGGCTGCTACGGCTCATAAAAGGTTCTTGACTTGTTCTGCCAACAGGTAGATGCAACAGAAGCTGATAGTGAGATACAGTACTTCTCTCAACTGTGTTGCATCTAAAGAAAAAACAAAAACCAAACAAGCATGATTTTGACTATATTTTCTCTGCATGACAGCCATATTAAATAGAAACTTAAGGTTGGTAAGATACCTCCAACCTCCCAAGTCAGAATTCAGAGCTGCAATCCAAACCTGTTTGTAAAACCAAGAAGAGCAATTTCAGCATTTCCTATTTCCACAAAACTGTTAATATTTTGACTTTGATGACGAAACAGAATTGTGATTTTTTTTGTTTGTTTTTTCTGAACATCTTGACTTTATTCTTGAAATTAACACACACACAAATAACAATTTCGCAAAAAAAAACAAAAAAAAAACAAAAATAAAAACCTGTGAGCTCAACTTCCCTGGGGGATGGAAACAGATTCAATAAACATATCAAACACATGAGTGGAACAAACATGACAAAATCAGGTGCATCACTGCAGGCTTGATGGCTCCCTGTGCCGGCATATTCTGAGTCATGTTTTCCCTCCGTTCAAGTCGCCATATGCCAGTTCAATTGAAAGCAGCGGGGGATTTGAATTGACACGAGCCGTCTCAAACCGAGAATATGCGTTGGGAGTGCTGCGGTTGCGCAATCGTTGCCGCTCCGCATTTCGACTCCTTGCAGCCTTGACAGCTTATTAAAACACTTTACTTTGGCTGCTCTTTTAATTCCTCATTATCTATAATTTTACGCAATGAGGAAGCGTCTTAATAACAGCTCTGGCGTGTTTTGATGTCAAAGCACATGTTGCATAAGCAATGAGTTTATGGCTGGTGTGTATGTCATTATGAGCTGCTTTTTTTCTAAAGACGGGAACTCTAATGGAGGCTGCGGTTCGGAAAGCCGAGTTTCCCTGAGTTTCCGTTGTCCCCTCGGCTGGCTTCTGATCGACAGCCAGAGCCCCGAGGTCAGTCTCCAACAAATAATTTATTCAGTCTATGTGCTATTGTCACAGTCTGCCAGAATCAGCACTTGCTGTGCCTTGTGTGGGCGTGTTTGATGCCATTAATGTATGCTTTTACGCCCACCACGAGCGTCGCCCTGCCTTGCCAATACCGTATGAATAGACGGGAATGAATTGAATCACTGTAGTGGCGGAGTGGGAGAGTGCTGTTAGGTTCGAAAAGAGAAACCGGTGGGGTGGAGGAGCCGAAAGCCGCGCGGTGCGTCACTAAGGCCTCTGTTGCTCTGACAGACGGAGAACAGGGCTGTAAAAAAAAAAAAAAAAAAAAAAAAGGGTTTCCCAGAAAAAAAAAA